AGGAACACTCTACAAAATATTCACTGGACTCTTAAGTTTCTCTTCTGCTCACACGACTTGAAGTGTTATTTTCTGTGACATAGGTGGAATGATGTCATTGGCTGTGAAATCAAAGACAAATGATCTAGTTAAATGTGTGGTAGTTGATGGTGGAGAACTAAAATCAAGGCGCCATTTAAACGTGCGTGGGAAAAGTGCAACTCTGCCTTCAATTACAGGTCTTACCTGTTTCAATTTCTTTTTGTATAACAGTGATGATGTGGAGATTTGATTCTTCATTTTTCCTCTGCTATTTTCTGAAAACTTCAGGAGAATGATTTTCTGTTCTGTGCCAGGATGTGCCTTGTGCACACCCCGTGCATGTGTTCATGTGCTAGAGTTCAGGTTATCTATTACTTTGTATCATAATGTTTAGTTCCTGTTTAACTGTTTTTTGTGGCCTTTATAGGCAATGGTTGCTCGTGGAGACCTTGGTGCTGAACTTCCAATAGAGGAAGTCCCTTTATTGCAGGTAATTGAACTGCATGTGACATGTCTAACTAACTTCCATGTTGCACATAATACATGTGTCAAATTTTCTCTGTGGGGCTTGATTAGAATGGAAAAGTTTGAGGACTCACCACTTTCTTGGAGATATTGAGAAGTTACTTCTGAATCTAAGAAAAAAAGATTACACTAGTAATAGCTTAAAATGAATTCTAGAGATCCATCATATGGGTCATTTTTGTAGTTTGTCTACACGCATTTTATTTGGTGGATTTAGTACATGATGTATTAGGAAGGGTGCATAGCGATTCATAAAACCAACCCCAACAAGTTTAAAATCGAGGCTCAGTTGTTTTTGTTGTTGTCTAAATACATGTTATTTCTTAGCAATACCTACTCACGGTGCATGGCTTATCCAACCAGGTAAAATTATAGTAGGTGAAATGGCCATCTGTACCTGTATGTAGCCTTGTTAACTGGCAACAACACTTACCCTTTTAATACTTGTCCTGTTTAGAGTTTAATCACAGTACTTCAGTTCCTTGTTTAATCAAGAGTTGCATGATCTTGCAAACAGGAAGACATCATTAGAAGGTGTCACAGTATGCAGAAACCAGTTATTGTAGCAACAAACATGCTGGAAAGCATGATTGGTCATCCTACACCAACAAGGGCCGAGGTTTCAGATATAGCAATTGCAGTACGTGAAGGTGCTGATGCAGTCATGCTTTCAGGGGAAACTGCCCATGGAAAGTAAGTGAACATGGTTCATATCAAGTGATTTCACTGTTTATGTCAATTTAATAATATTATGATGGCAGTCCTTTTGTTGCTTGGACTGGAATAAACTACCACCCTGTTTATTAAAATTGTGAGTTTTGTTGTGAAATTGCCTATTGTTAGGCCTCTGAGCGTTTTTAAGTATCTATCTGGTAGAAGTAGAACAGAACATTTCTGACATTTATAATGCATGGCTTGAGTTCCATTGCTTGCATTACCTTTTCCAAGGAGTAAATTGATGTTTTGCTTGAAAACTGCGTTGCTTCTTCTTCGTTTTTTATCTGTCCTTTTCTTCCTCCTCCGTGTTGGATGACAGAACAGAAAATGGCAACTGGGATATTTTTCTAGCCAGTGGAGATTTGGCTCAAACTTGCAAACTGCTTTGTGTTGCAGGCCTTCCACCATCATAGGATATATGGTCTTACCACTCAGTTGATTTGGCTTTCACCTTCAGTGTAGGCATTTTCCACTGGTCTACTATTGCCGCTTACTGAGTGCCATCCATTTCCAACCATAGCAATAGTTGCTGATGATTGCCACAATCATGTTTCAGTTGACTCAATGTCAGTTGTCTGCTATTGCTGGAAACAATCACCAATCACCAACTACCTGAATCCTGTCTATAATTGTGTGAACATATGATTCTTTTTTACACTGGATCAGAAAATTGCAAAAAATTATCTTTAAAACATGTTTTCCATTAAAAATATTTTTCAGTCAGTACATTTGATGAGCTTATTGAGTTATATAATTAGAGAAGTTTCCTTCATTGTTTTAGAACTTATAAGACTCCGGGAACACAATATAAGTTTGGGTTTCTTGCTATCTCTTTTAATCTCATAGCTCATAATTCATTTAGCTGGTCAAATGAAAGGAACATCAAGATATAATATCGATGATATCTGGGTGAAGTTTCTGTATGGTGATAAGTAGCTCAAATTATTTCTCTTTTTCACATAGATTCTTTGGTTAAACTTATGTTATCCTTAACTGGTTTAATGGCATGCTCAGGACCATGTTTTCACTTATATCGCTTTTGCAAGT